CTAGGTTGTTTGGCTTGCTGGTTAATGAGCTACCTGCATGCTAGAGCCAAGTGAGTTTCCATCATCCTGTATCGTTTGTCTCATGCTTTGGGGGATCAGTGTTGATGGAAGTAGCTCAAATGGTTTCAGAAAGAGGAAGGACAATGTACCAAAGACGCATTGAGATATATGGCACTGCTGCCCACTGGCCTCTCTGCAATGCTTATTTTCTCCAGCAGAGAAGAAGTTGCAGTGGGGGCCACGTGGAGACTGGTATCAGGTCTAGGAAAGAGAATCACTAACTTCATCATTTCTGCTATGAGCTGGAGAGCCCCAGTGAAGCGAGAAAAGACTTGCCACCCTCTCTTCTGTATGAGAGGAGAGGTACTCAGAGAAGACTATTTGCTGGGAGTGTATCCCAGGGAAAATGCTGGGACCAAAACAAACCTGAACAGAGCTTTAAACAGAGCTTTAAAGTGTGGACCTGCGCCTAGAAAAGCATGGTGCAAAATGAAGTCTGGGTTAGTCCTCAGTGTGCTTCTATGCATGGTCGTGTGCACGCCCCAACAGGGATTCAGTACAGTGGTACCTCGGGTTAAGTACTTAATTTGTTCCGGAGGTCCATTCTTAACCTGAAACTGTTCTTAACCTGAAGCACCACTTTAGCTAATGGGGCCTCCTGCTGCTGCCACACCGCCAGAGCACGATTTCTGTTCTCATCCTGAAGCAAAGTTCTTAACCTGAAGCACTATTTCTTGGTTAGCGGAGTCTGTAACCTGAAGTGTATGTAACCTGAAGCGTATGTAACCCGAGGTACCACTGTATTAAGTTCAACTTCTCCTGACTATTTAAACTTCAAATGTCATCGGTTCCCACTTGGTTCTGCCTTAAGAAGAATGACAAGTACTGTACAGTGTTCAGAAAAAAAGTCTATGTAAACCATTCCTCTTCACAGGGAGCACAGTCATCTCACAGGATCCTATGAAGTTGCCTTATGCCAATACAAACTATTGGTCTAGCTTAGGCATCCCCAAACTTGGCCCTCCAGATGTTTTGGGACTACAACTCCCATCATCCCTAGCTAACAGGACCAGTGGTCAGAGAGGATGGGAACTGTAGTCCCAAAACATCTGGAGGGCTGAGTTTGGGGATGCCTGGTCTAGCTAACTCCAGATCATCTGCACTGACTGGCAGCAGAGGACCTTCTGCATGCTCCTTCCAGAGCACCATTTTTTCTTTCCACTCTCTGAAACATGTTGACTCAAAATTAACACACACACCCCCAGAGCACCACGAGACATCTGCACATCCTCTTGTTTTCCCATGGAACAAATGGCAATTGGGTTTCCCGTGGATTGCTGTATGTTCCAATTTAGGGCTAAAAAGTGGATTTTCCCTGGGTAAGAAAAAGGGAAAGGGGAAAACCACTTGGACCCATGCTTTCTAGGTACGGGATGAGAGGAAGTGTGGCTGAGCCCTTACTTTATGATAAGTGCACTTTAAATGAGGGCCTTTGTCTCATTGCCATCTCTGAGGAAGCAGGTTTGGCAGGTGTGTGTTTATATGACTTTAAATACCCACAAAACCTTCTTAACCAGGAAAGAACAGTAAAAAAAGCACTTGCTAGAGGCTTGGGGGGAGAAGAAGAGTTTGGATTTGATATCCTGCTTTATCACTACCCTAAGGAGTCTCAAAGCGGTTAACAATCTCCTTTCCCTTCCTCTCCCACAACAAACACTCTGTGAGGTGAGTGAGGCTGAGAGACTTCAGAGAAGTGTGACTAGCCCAAGGTCACCCAGCAGCTGCATGTGGAGGAGCAGGGAAGCGAACCCGGTTCACCAGATTACGAGTCCACCGCTCTTAATCACTACACCACGCGGGGCAGATTTGTTTGGTTGGCTTTTCTCAGCAAGCCAACTAAATCTGACACTCCTGAATTTGTTGGGAGGTTGGAACACAGTTCCCAGTCACCATAAGCACTAATGTAGATTTTGTGGCATGGCTCCAGCATGCAAAAAGTGTGCAGAGAAATGTGCATTCTATGTAAAAGACGAGTACATAATCCATTTGGATGAATGAGGTGAAAAGCATTGCAAAGGGTGTATTCGACATTTAAAAGGTGAATATTGTATGTCAAAGGTGTTTATAAAATGTTAAATTACATTTTGTGCATTCTTCGAAAACACCTGTACAGAATGGGATGGGATGGAGCTAGGCCTACTGAGCACCAGTGAGACTGTAATGGGACAGAAGTAATCGCCCAGTCCATCCCTAGTGCCTACACCATGGTAAATCGAGGTTCATATCACACTGCCTTCAACTCTCTTACCAACCACTGTTTGTCTCCAATCTATTTGGGGCAGCTGAATTTGAGGCAAGGCTACAGATAAGAGAAAATTTGCATGGTCTTTACCTCTTCAAACAGCACTGGCCCAGAATGACTGGCCCTTCTTTTGTAAAATTTAACTTGGCAACTCTATAAATATTGCACTCAGCAAAATGGACTGTTTCGTCGTATGTTATTTCACTCCCGATGGAATCAGAGTTTACCATTCCTTCTATTTAAGTGGACAATAATCACAGCAACAACAATTATGGCCATAACAATCTGCATTCCAAGAACGTTTCGCTGAAGAAACTCTAGAATATTTTGGCTTGCTCTGCCTAGTGCATGAACTCAAGCTTTAAAATGGCTTTTTCTTGTTTTTATATCTTCCCAGAATTTTTTTTTCCCATGCCTATTTAGAAAAGCAATAAAATTTAAAGAGTTATTTCGAAATAAGACTGAACCTAAGCGTGACTAAGTTTCAGGCAAGGGAGAACAGGAAGTATAAGATGCGCTAGGGGTACTAACGATAGGGTACTACGTCCATGCATGGACAACATCATGGGGAAAATAAGCCTGCCTTTATGCAACCAAAGAGCTAAGCTAGTATTTAGATGGATGGTGATCAACTCTGCTATGATTTCATCAGGGTTAATAAACATGCTAATGCCTTTTACTGGACCAAAGTGAGGTGGTAAAATGGAGAGCCAAGAACTTTAAAATATGTTCTATAAATCCAGTACTGATTGATTAACAGATTAATTAACATTACAATAGGCATAATTCATGCTCTTTTGGCAAGGTCAGTTATTGTGGCAATGATGTATTCCTGCTCCGGCGGGAAGGTAAACGGTGTTTCCGTGCGTTGCTCTGGTTCACCAGAAGCGGTTTAGTCATGCTGGCCACATGACCTGGAAAAACTGTCTGCGGAGCGGACAAACGCCTGCTCCCTCAGACTGTAAAGTGAGATGGCTGGACTTAACTGTCCCTTGACCTTTGCCACCTCCCCCACTGTACCTGAGATGTGGATTTTCCAGTGCCCCCAGTGGCTGCCCTCTCTGCCCCTGCCAACTCTGCCAGCTGAAAGCTAGAAGCTTTCTCCACCCTAGTCCCCCACCCTGGGGACCTTTCTTCCCTGACTCCCACTCAGGAATTCCTTTCATTTCTACCCCATTGGCCACAATTACAGGGGAGCTGCCACCAGACGCTGGTCAGGCTGCTGTTAATGTGCATCAGCCATTTTTCTTGCTGGCTGCAGAGGACAAGATCCTTTTCCTACTCCTGCTGTCTCAGCTGCTGTTGATTCCGGTGCTGTTGAATGTGTATTCATGAAATGCTTTTAAAATTCAAAATACGCAAAGGGCCGTCCAATTAAAATGTTACAAAAATATGACCAACAGTCCAAATCCAACAAATGATACACATTGGGTTGGAATGAAAGACTTGTTAGCGGACGAAAAACGGCTGTTAATGCTGTAGAAGAAGAAGAAGAGTTTGGATTTGATATCCCGCCTTTCACTCCCTTTAAGGAGTCTCAAAGCGGCTAACATTCTCCTTTCCCTTCCTCCCCCACAACAAACACTCTGTGAGGTGAGTGGGGCTGAGAGACTTCAAAGAAGTGTGACTGGCCCAAGGTCACCCAGCAGCTGCATGTGGAGGAGTGGAGACGCAAACCCGGTTCCCCAGAATACGAGACTACAGCTCTTAACCACTACACCACACTGGCTCTCCAGTATACTGTACTGCAAATGCTTGCAAACGCAATCACAATATATTAAAATATGCAGGTTCCAGAGGAGGCATAGTTCCCCTTGCACAGGAGATTGCGTAAGTCCTCGCAGAAGCAGAAGCAGATATTTGGTTTTGGTTTGTCCATGCAATGCTGTACCAGATTGTACAAATCCCAGGAATGCTCTCCCAAAGAGCCAAACTTCATTTATATAGTATAAATGAAGGAGCATATCATTCTTCATTGGTAGCCTTTCTGGGCAAGGGGTTGGTGCAAGCACTAAGTAGGCCCTGCTCCTTGTCTTCGTTATGACCCCTGCAAAGGATGGGCCAAGAACCTCCCTTGCTAACTCTCAAGGCTAGGAAGGAATATGTAGGAGAATTGCCTGAGGATACCTTCCTGGCCCAAACCTCTGTATCTCTGAGGTTGAGAAGCATTAATGCCACAGTCCAGCACAGACAAGGACAGCCATATGGAGAGATGGGGGAGAAAATCCATTCAGTTTGTGCTGAAAGGTGAACCTACCCAGTTCACACTTTCTGAAACAATATGCAAAATTAAATACAGCTCACTTTCGGAATCCACACTTCTCCAAACTTTGAAATGTAGTTCTCCAGTCAAGTAAGGTGTATGAAAATGCATAGACCAGAGCAAGGTCTGCATGAAAATGCACATTACATTGTTGTGCACATAGCATGTAGAAATTATACTAGGGCTATGCTTTGCAGAAATGTGCATAATGGGCAAAACTACATAAAGAAATATGTTGATGAGGAAAAATCCACACTAAAATGCTGGTGAATTTAAATGAGGACTTAAAAGAAAAAATCACAATCTGATGTGGAAATGCAGAGTACCTAACTTAATATTGTAAAAATAACAAGCTGAGAGAAACTGACATTGACAGATTCACCCAGCCCTATGCATAAGCCTAGATAAATCACTCCGAATTTATGTGTTTAGAAGATACAAACACACACACGCACAAACACAACACCCGTGTGTGTGTGTGTGTGTGTGTGTGTGTGTGTGTGAATGAGACAGAGCCAATACTAGACTAGGCATGAATCAGGTTTTGGTTTATGCTTTTGAAAATGAATCCCTCCCTATAAGACCACTTGGGAAAACCAAGATGGTATCTGATACAAATGAAATTTTAGTGATAGAAAATCCCTGGCAATTGCACTGTTTGCCTGAGTCATCTTTTAAATATTTTGAATTTACGTTTTTCCCCCTGTCTGCCCTTTAAGAGCTCTTGGGTATTTAATTTTTTATTTTATTTTATTTTACTGGCAATGATTACACTGATGAGTATTCCATTTGTAAGATTAAAGCGGGACATGCATTTCAGACAAAATGCAGAGGAGACCATTAGTCAAAACCTCTAGTTAATTATACTGCTACGGGGATTTATCATCTGTAAGGTGTGGCAAGAAACAATTCAGCAACCATGCTTAATTCACGTGCCTTTAACCCATGGGTAGCCAAACTAAGCCCCAGGGGCCGGATCCGGCCCAATCGCCTTCTGAATCCAGCCCACAGATGGTCTGGGACTCAGCGTGTTTTTACATGAGTAGAATGTGTCCTTTTATTTAAAATGCATCTCTGGGATATTTGTGGGGCCTGCCTGGTGTTTCTTACATGAGTAGAATGTGTGCTTTTATTTAAAATGAATCTCTGGGTTATTTCTGGGGCATAAGAATTCTTTCCTATTTCCCCCCCCCCCCAAACTATAGTCCGGCCCCCCACAAGGTCTGAGGGACAGTGGACCAGCACCTTGCTGGAAAAGTTTGCTGACCCCTGATTTAGAGCTAGGGATGGCAACCTGCAAGGACTCACTGTTTCAGCTATGGGATATTCCGGTGTTTTCCCTCGAAAATCGCCTGTATAAGGTTAGCTCTAACCCTGTATAGGGTTAACCCTATATAGGGTTAGCCCACCGCCTGTATTGGCCGGCTAGTTTTATTCCTGATAAAAGAGCAGGCAGGTCATGGGTGTGGAAAACGTTTTCAGCCTGAGGGACACACACCCTCATGATTAACCTTCCAGGGAACAACATGCAAGCAAGGGGTGGGGGCAGAACTGACAGTGGGTGATGCCACTCCACACACTATGGATGTCATCAAAATTCCTGGCCTCATAGAATCATAGAATTTAGAGTTTAAAGGAATCCTGAGGGTCATCTCATCCAACCCACAGCAATTCAGGAATCTCAACTAAAGCATCTGCTGAAGGGCTTTTACCCTGGCTCAATGTCATGCCCTCCCCTCGGCCGTTATTGAAGGTCAATACAGGAAGAGAAAATGCCCCTGTGACTCAGGACAAATAAAAATGGTAGAGCATGTCCTTCTCCAGTGCCTGTATTACAGAGACATTCGTATTAGTCTGATTTCCCCACTACTTCATAAGTACCCAGGGTGCATAGGGTAATGCTATACCTCCCTGCTGCTCTCAGGTACCAATCCTGCTACAACATGCAGTGTTGCTAGATTCTGCACAGCAGCACTCAAAATTCATTGGAGGATGACCTGTGCCACAAACTAGATTTAGTACTCTGTAAATTAATAGTTAAAGTCTTTTATATATCAACCTTTTATGCTCTTCCACGCCCTCCCAATGCTTCTATCCCTTCTTTTAGATTCTTTTAAATTCTTATACAGTAGTCTTTTATATTCTCCTTCTGCTTTGATACCTTTTAGCTTTCCAAAATGCTTTTCAGATTTTAAATGACTGTATCCCACCCTTTTATGCTGATCTATGACAGTAATAAAGATTTGAATTGAAAAATTGAACTAAAGCATCCAGGACAGATGTCCACCCAACCTCTGCTTAAAAATCTCCAAGGAAGGGGAATCCACAAACTCCCAAGGGAGTCTGTTCCACTGTCAGAGAGCTCTTACTGTCAGAAAGTTCTTCCTGATGTTTAGTTGGAATCTCCTTTCCTGTAACTTGAAGCCATGAGTTCATGTCCTAGCCTCAAGAGCATGCTCCATCTTCCAGCTAGACAACCTGATAACAGCCTGGCGTAAAAGTCTGGGTGGTTGGGTACCACTGCTCACTCAGCTCAACTGTAGCCAAGCCACATTTGATGAAGGTTTAGATAAGCTTCACCAAATCTCACCCCAAATGCTGTGAGGCAATAAGTACTTACAAGGTAAAGACTGCCTCCTCCTTTCTTTTAACTTTGTTTTAAGCTTAGTTTTAAAAAGGTCCTTTTAAGAGGCTTCCAAGAAATAACTGTACATCGCAATGTGCATTCCCTTCTTGAGGAACTGTACAAGAAAAAAATATGGCTAATGCATTCCAAATGTGTATCTTTACTTGTAGCTGCAGACCGCATTGGAAGTACAGTACAGAACCATGCTCTGTTCAGTCTGCTGGTTGTGTGGCCTAATATGCAGGTCAATTTTCTATTCTGCACATGGATCCAAGGGGGGTGAAATGGGGAGCCTTGCTCCAAAATACAGAGTGAACTGGAATCCTCCTCATCCCAATTGGCATGCTGACCTGCAGCTGCTACAAAACCTCCTCTTGAGAAGGCTCCCTGGTTTAGAACTTTATCCTTGAAGTCATGAAGGGCAAGGGAAAGAAAAAGTGTTCTGCTCCAACCGTAAATGGAGTTGTAAACTATCTTGTTAGATGGCAATTGGGAGAAAAGGAGAGAGGGGGAAAGAGAAAAACAATTGTTTCTTCCCTTTTTTGTCTTTTGCTGAAGCCAACTTGTGTAATTTTGCTTTGGTCACAATGAAAGATTTCTAAAATGTAGGGTGCTTCCAAACAATTAAACAATAAACCTGATTATTGAGCACCCATCCTGATTTGTTTGCATGGAGTCTAGATGACGTTGCATCAAAGCAATGCATCAGAGTGCATTTCCCCATTGCTTTCCTTATCTCAAAAAGTTTGATATTTGGGGGAAGCAAGTTTTTTGGTTTTTTTAAAAAAGACCTACCAAGACCTCTAATTCTGCCATCTGAATTTGCCAGCATGTGATTGAATTCCACCTGAAAATAGTGGCACTCTGGAAGCACCTGTAGTTCTTTGATGTGTTGACAGATTTTCTCGGCAATACTAGCACTCCTTGGTCAACCTTCATCTGATCAACTGGTCTGAGCAACTGGTGGCTGCAGAAACTCAGCCTCTGCTTCTTGCAGCCTTAAGCATGGAACTCAGTTTGGATTCACTGAACATGTTTGGACTCATCAAGAATTTCTGCACCCATCACTCTGTGTTGCATTTCTGAACCTTAACTGGAGCCTTCACGATGAGAATGGGAAATTGCATTTTTTTTGGGGGGGGGGCTTTGTTTTTTAAAGAATGACTAGGCATGAGCTGAAACAACATCTTTATTTTCTTTTTAAAAGGAAAAGATAGGGAAATATTTCATGAGTTACTCATGTAACAAAATACTGAGCATTTCCTCAGGCTCTGAAAAAAAAAATAGCAAATGGCTTTGTTCTTTTCCAGTTATTTTGTGACCTAATATCATGCCTTGGCTAAATCAAACAACAAGAAGATTTTAAAAGATTAGCTACGGTCTGGGCAGCCAAAGCTGGATGAGCATCGAGATACGTATTTTGGATTCTCACCCTCAAAACGCCTTATGAGGTTCAATTGGAGATGCTCTTGTTAAACTTCCTACCAATAGGAAAAGGGCTGAGAGGATTAGTTTTTACTTATGAGTCACCCTCCGTGGTATATCAAACATGTTTTCCTCCAAGGTACATTACAGAGGAGATCCTGTTTCAAAGTCACTGCTAATGGTTTCCTCTCTTTTTTTCTGTTCCAAATAGGATTTTCACAGGACTTCCTTCCACCACTTTCATCTTCATTATCTAGTGTCTATCATCTAATCCAGAGAGAGCCAACGTGGTGCCCCTCCAGACTACAAATACCATCACACCACACTGGCTGGGACTGAGGGAAGTGTTGGCTATTTGCAGATTAGTTGCGCTGCAGAAAGCTTGCTAGGGAGACCACACATTACAAGGAACACAAAATAACTTTAGCTAGGTTTTAATAACAAAAACTAAAACTCCTTTACACTAAATATATCAATAAGCATGACCCGTCCACCAGGGGACTGAGAGAGCTAGGTGCTGCTCTTTATATACTATACCCAATTGCTGACACAGCTTAACTAACACAACTTAACAGCACCTGCTATACTGTTTCACAGCTGTAAAACTAGGTCATGTTATTTGCTTTGGCCCTTAAAGACATACACATCTTGTGGAACAATAATGAACCTTCAAATTTAAAGAGACCATTCAATAGGAAGTTGGAGTCCAAAGGCATCTGGAAGGTACCCCATTGGCTCTCCGTTTTCCTCCTGGTCTTCTTTTGGTTTTCAGTATTCCTGACATGCAAATGCCCCTCAGCAGTAACTCCCTGCCATTCCCCTCTTCAGGTTCTTTTGTAGGGCAGCCAAACATCTGTAGGCTTGCCCACAAAAATGTTCTCTTTACATATGACACAAGCATGTCAATGATCCAGCCCAATGCCTTATCCAACATGCCAGAGATAGCGATCATTTGAAATTCTAGCAAAACAGTTTTGCACACTTCCATAAAGGTAGGCAAAACTATCAACAATCATAGTAATACTGCGGATTATGACCAGTTCTGTGTGTCAGCATGTTAAACAGTTCCCCACCTACAAAATACACTCCCTGTTTCAGCTCAGCAGTAATGCATTCATTTTACTGAGTAAATGACTGACTGTGACCAGAAGCAATTATCTATGACTAATCGATCATGTGTGCTAATTAGCTGATTGCAGCAACTTCACCCTGTTCACCTGCATTAATATAACGGGTAAAGTTATCCTATCAAAGTTCTCAGAGGTGGCATTCATCCTCAAGATACAGACATGGCATCTAAAACCCCCACAAAGCTTTATTTCAGTTTCAGAAATTAGACAAGCCCATTGCTTACTCTGCTAACTGCCTTGAACTATGGGGCAGGCAAAACAGCAATTAATAATCAGAGTACAGATTACAGATGTGTCTGTTGCCTTATAGGTTTCTTCAAA